TCTAGCCTGAGGTTCAGCCTAGCAGAGTTGGTTGACAGGGAAGTGACTATTTGAAAGATGCAGATAATGCCTTCAGAAGCTCTCATAGAGATGGGAGCTGTGCACTTCTTTCTATTTATGCTGTTTTTGACTAATGAACGAGTGGTTTCTGAGCATCTTTCAAAACACCAGGCCCGAAACCCACAGGAACAGCTGATCTGAACAAAGGGGAGCTCATGGACCCCAGACTGATGGCTAGGAGGCCAGCATGGGACTGATCCAGACCCCCTGAACGTGGATATCAGTGAGGAGGTCTTGTGCAAACTATTGGGCCTCATGTTGTAGATCAGTATTTTTCCCTGGCATAGGAATGGACTTTGGGAGCCCCTTCCATATGGAGGGATGCTCTCTCAGCCTGAACACATGGGGGAGGGCCTAGGCTCTGCCCTGGAAGATATGACAGACTTTGGAGATCCCCCATGGAGGGCCTCACCCTCCCCCGGGGAGTGGAGGGGGAATAGGATGGGGAATTTGTGGGGGGGGGAGGAGGGGAGGGAGAGGGAGCTGGGATTAACATGTGAAGCAGGCTTGTTTTCTAATTTAAATAAAAAGAACAACAACAAAAACCAAACCAAACAAACAAATAAAAAACAAAACACCATGGCCTGTGTAACACCCTTCACAGAGGAAACTATTAAACCAGATGTTATGTTTTTACAAGGAACTGAAGGGCTACGTTTAAAAAAAAAAGACAACCTTATGCATTCTCTTTAGGCATCATGCTTGATTTGTAGCTGAGGATGATCTTGAACTTCTGATCCTCCACAGCCTGCTCCTCTCAAGTGACAGGATGACAAGTATGGACCACTTGCTGGAATCGATTTTTTTTCCTTCTGCCATGTGGATCCCAGGAATTGAATTTAGGTCATTCCTTACCTGATGAACCAGCTCACTGGACCTAATTTTATTTTTTCACATGTATTTATTTGTTTGTTTATTTTTATTTGTGTGTGTGTGTGTGTGTGTGTGTGTGTGTGTGTGTCCTCAAACATACGTAAGTCACTGAGTACCTATGGAGGTCAGAGGACAGCTTATGGGAGATGGTTCTTTCTGTAGGGTTGTGTTTGAGAGGTTTAAAAAGGAGTGGAAAACAAGCGGAGAAATAGGAAGAGATACATTACTGGGAAAGCTGAAAGCCACAGGTTGTTACTTTGTGCTTTGACGATTCATAGTGCAACCTAACTGCCACAGTGCAACCTAACTGCCACATAGTGTCTACAGCTCTGGCTTGAGCAAAACCTAAACCTCCTCTTCCCTTCCTCCTCCTTCTCCTCTTTGGTAGGTCAGGCACTAAGAATATTTTTTAATCTTTTTGTTTGTTTGTTTTCTAAGAAAGTGTTTCTCTGAGTAGCCCTTGTTGTCCTGGAATAGACCAGGCTAGCCTCAAAATCAGAAATCCACCTATCTCTGCGCCTTCAGTGCTGGGTTTAAAGGCATGTGCCATCATGCCTGGCACTCTCAATGATTAAACAAACTCAAGAGCAGATAGGATTTCATGACATTTGAAAAGGATATGAAATTCAAATTTTGGTGTCCATAAATATAATTGTTTTTGAGCATAGTCACACCCATTCTCTTAAAAGTTGTTTCCTACAGGTTTGTTTTTCTTTCTTTTTTTGTTTTTTTCCTGCCACAGGAGAGCCGAGTCCCCGTGACAGAGACTTCTTGCACCTCACAAAAACTGAAGCATCTGCTATCTAGCTTTCGGTAGAAAGGTTGGCTGAGCCTTGACCTGGTGCCCCGTTTTGTTCAAATTAGCAGGGAAACAGTCGCCAGGCACTCAAAGCTGGAGTGCTTGCTGCCTGTCAGCCAGGTCTCTTCTTGCCCAGGGCAGACGCAGGGGTTGAAGGCTCCAGGGTATCGGCTCTCTGTTTTCCACTTTCCACTCAAGTGGAACAGACAGTTACTGACCTTGTGGCCACGCTCTGCCCCAAGTCTAAGAAGTGTCCACGCCCAGTGCTCCGTGTATCCAGCTGGGTCTGAGTGGGCTCTGGACACTGAGTCTAGGGGTGGGTGTTAGGATTTACAGAGGCTCAGAGATGCAGCCGCCAGCCCACACTAATAGAGATCAGAGCCAGGGATCGGATATGGTTTCCTGCCTGTAAGGACTACATGGGGGTGGAGGTGCCACTTTGCAAGGGATCCCCAAAGCTTTCCTATTAACTTTCCAATCTGGGGTTCTCCTCTGCATCCTGGTTTGCTACCCAGTCACACCCAAACCCAGGGAACCACGGATTCTTCTCTCTTTATATCACTTTTTTTAAAATAAAAATATTTATTGTTTTTATGTGTGTGAATGTTTTCCTGCATGGATATATGTGCACCATGTGCATGCCTGATGTCCACAGAGGCCAGAGAGGGTTTCTATTCCCCTGGGACTAGAGTTATACAGGGTTGGGAGGCATCATGTGGGTTCTGAGGACTGAACTTGGGTCCTCTGCAAAAGCAGCAATTGCTCTTATCTACTGAACCATCTCTCTCCAACTCTTTTTTTGTATCACTTTAAAAAAAATCCCACCCTCTCCCCCAAGCTGGGCGTTGGTGGCGCACACCTTTAATCCCAGCACTCCAGAGGCAGAGGCAGTCGGATCTCTGTGAGTTTGAGGCCAGCCTGGTCTACAGATTGAGTTCCAGGACAGCCTCCAAAGCAATAGGGAGAAACCCTGTCTCAAAAAATCCCCCCCCAATTATTTTCCCATTATGTCTTTTTTTCCTGATGCAACTTGAGTCAGCATTTATAAAACATTGTGTATGTATGTATAAATAACATATACATCCATTATATTTAAATATAAATATGTACATAAAAGACATCTTTTATCTGAAAGATGAACCAGAACATTTTATTTTCTAAGTGGAGGCTCTTGGTAGATGAATGCACCTGTGCCATACCAATTCTTAACCAGGAATCTTCCTATTGAGAAATGCTGCTTGGGAACACTCTTGGACGACCCTTTTTTGCTGGATGTGAAGCTCTGGCCAAGACGGACCCTCAGCTCTCCACACCCCTCTCCTTCCCTTTCGTAGTTTCTCCTCCCCAAGCTCCTCTTCCCACATTATTCCCGCCCAGACTTGTCTGCTCCTAGCCACAGGCTCCCGAGTATTTCCGTCTTCTTTTTTATCATCACAAGGGACTTCTGCTTACCTCTTCCCGGAGGAGGACACAGAAGGTGAGCATTCTCCCCCATCCCCCCGAATCCGTTGCCTGCAGGAGGGAATGAAAAATGAAGTCACCTGCAAACTCCCCGACACTCAGAGAAGCCACTCAGTGTGGAGCTACTCAGTTTCCTGTCTGCTGCTGTAGGTGCCTGCAAACAAGGAGGTGCCGCTTCTCCAGAACAAGCCCACCCAGAGAGGCATTATTCATGTCAGTCTCTTGTCAGCCTTCGTGTTAATGCACCATCAGCTCCAAATCATCTGCCTGCTTCTTTTGTGATGAGTTAGCATATAGACAGTGGGTGTGGAAGCTCTTTGTCAGCATCCGCTACTTGGAGAATGTTTTTTTTTTCTCTATCCCATAGGAACTGGAATGAAACTTGCAATCTAATTTATTTTTACAATGGCAAGTATAAGAAGGCGATCGCCACTTAAATAAAATAAGGTATCACTTGAAAAAAAAACAAAAACAATGCATTTTCGCAATCACCAGGCAACATATTTGAGCGAGTGGATATGTGTGTGTTGTGGAGATTTGTTTTCCTCAGTTTGCTGTTTCTGGGTGTAATACACTCCTTCACGCGAGTCTGAGAGGCAAGGAGCGCAGAATGATTAGTCTTTGTCTTGGCTGTCAGTCTCGGTTTTCATCCGGGGGCTTCCTAACTTCCTACGGGCAGCCGTTTCTCTGTCTGTTTTCCTCATTAACTTTAATTCACAAAGCACACAGTAGAGGGAATAGTCAAGCTCCCATTTTGTGAACAGTCCTCTGAAACTCTGCTGCCAATGCTATGCTGAAGAGTGACGACAGTGAAGGGGGATGCTTTCTTTCTCCACAGCTATCCCCGTGGGACCCGCCCTTTCCCCACCAGCTTCTTCAAGGTAGCCTGGAATAGGTGAAGCCAGTGGGTGGCCCCCTGGTTGCCAGTGAGTTGGTTAGTACACATCATAGACATTTTATCTGGCCTTTGTGCTCGTTTTTGACCCTCCCCCCATTTTTGTGTTTCCCTCTCTCTTTTTTTCTTCATCCCCTCCCCTTTGGGAAAATAAGTCATTCAGTTGACCGCGTATGTTTCCGTCTTCCACCCTCTAGTTCATCATTTAATGGAGAGAAATCCTTGTGTTATTTGGTCTTTGCCCTCATCTTTGCATCTCCCTCTCCGGAGGCTTCTGGAAGTTGGATGCCACCCTATCACTCCATTAGTGATAAGCATGGCCTCCATGGCATCAAATCCAAAGCCTCACCATGTTTCACTCTTTTAGGAAGGCCTAACATCTTACATCTTAATGGCCGTGGTCAGCTGCTCTTTCCCAAGTTCCTTTCTCTGTAGGAATTCTGGTTTCCCTTTTCCCTCTAGGCCTGAATACGAAGCCCGATAGCAGTCCTCTTTGTACTCTCTGGAGTTATCAGGGAGTTAAAAGTAGACTAACCAGGTAATTTTCTATCTAGATCAAGATATCTTCAAGGACCAAAGGGTGTTCAGTAGATAACAGATAGCAATCAGAGCTTCTCCTGGCTAAACTGGACAACTTCTCTCCAGACTCAGGGGTTTGTGGAGAGTAAAAAGAGTTTGGCACCAGAGATGAATCAATCTGTGCCAAGAAATTTTTTTCAAGTGTCAACCTTCAGTTTGTTTAGCTACCTCTGCTTAGATCCTTAAGTTAATCCAACTTCGAATTCATGTAAGGATTCAGTTACCTGAGGAGAAGGTTTTGTATGTGGGAAAAGTGAATGAAGATGTCTGTGAGGAAAAGCAGAACTGGTTGGACCAGATCTTAGAATATTCCTTGGGTTCCAGTCACTGGCTCTACCTTTTAAAGTAAAGATGGACTTGGTGCTGAAACCGCCTCCAGGCTCTTCTCAGCCCGGGGTTTCTCAAGATTAGATGGACTGCCTGGCCAGCTGGGTAGGCAGTCATGATAAAGTTGCACAGGCTATTCCAGAGACTGTAGGCATCGAAGATACTTGACATGGAGATAAATAGAGCCAGTGCATTGATAATGTAGAGAACGAGAGAGTAGCTGGTTGACTTGATGGCACCCAAGTGGGCCTCCATGCTGGAGTCCCTGGAGCCCGCGGCGCTGTTTTCCATGTGTAGGGTGTGCCTCTTGAGTGAGGCAATCAGCAGAGTGCCTGCCATGATGAACATGAACAAGGGAATGAAGATCCCCACATAATATAAAAACGCCAGGCCCAGCACATTGGTCTCAGAGAAGTACTGCCTCTTTGTGGAGTTAAGGGAAGGGATGGCAACAGAGTTGTTCACGTACACGTTGAAGATGTGTTTAGAGAAGAAGGAGCTCAAGCTGGCAGAAACCAACACTGAGAGACTCATAAGCTGAGGCATCAGCCCTATGATTTTCCGCTTCATCACGAGGAACAGAGGGTTAGTGAAGTTTGCAATTTTCAGACAGTAGAAGACGTTGAGCCAGGCAGCAAACCAGAGGTTACAGTAGCTCAGAAACACAGTGGCAGCTTTGAAGAATTTATACATGCCACTTTGGCTATAAATGATCCTGAAGAACAGACTGCAAGTAATCTCTACCATTATCCAGATCAGTAGCAAGAGCCTGGAGAAACTCAGCATCAACATAAGGTGGTCACCAGTGGGGAATCTTTTGCTCCTGACCCATTCAGTCCCATAGATGACTGTGATGAAACCATTGCCAATGATGCCAATGATACAGTGCATTGTAGAGATCACAAAAGTCATAAGGACTTTGTACCTGGGGGCGTAATCGGTAACATACGTGCTTACCATCGCCACACTGACTCTGACTTTTAGGTTCCTCACTGAGAAGTATCCGTTGCTAAATCCTCCCACAGTCAGCGTTACAGCAACACTTCCCCTCTTAGTTGAAAGTCATTTCCTATTTTTTCTTCATTTGATTGTCATATGACTACACGTAAGAGACTTGGCATGCAAATTATGGAAGGATTTGGTTACTGGCTCTGACTCCATTTCATAGACACCCATTTGCTTGGTGGCTTTCAGAAACTTATTCCACAGAATTTACAATGAATGTCTAGCACAGCATCTTCACATCGTATGTATTTTAGTCCATATTCACCAGAATCCTGAGTTAGGTATCTCAGTGTCCCATGGTTTTTTTTTGTTTTTTAAAACTTAGCTCACAAGACTTGTGCTATTTCTTGTTGTTTGTGAAAACATACTGCCTTCTCAGGTTTCCTTTCTGTGTTGCCCAGGCTAGTCGGCGATTCTCTTGCTACTACTGTCTAAACAGCAGGGATTCCAGGCATGCACCACTGTGTTTAGTCTTCTTGCTTTGTTTCTTATTGCCCGTATTTTGCAAGAAGTTCTCATTTTACAGTTACCACGTAAGCAAAGAACAAAGCCACGTTAGCTCACATCTTTCACTTAGAATGAAGCTCCCTCTAGAAAGGCCTCAAACGGTACACAGAAAAAGACCAGCTAGGATGATGATACAGTTCTCCTCCGAGGGACGGCTTTGTCTACCTCTGGTTACTGGATGGATGTAGGACCATGAATGAACCTGCTGTCCTGTGAGGACCGGCAGGCTGCTTGGTGTGGGTCCATGTACCTGGTCACTGATCCTCCTAGCAGCACCAGCATCCTTCACGCAGCCAGAATTTTTTTTTTTTGAGTTTGCACAGAGACTTGATTGACCAACGGTTTTGCGTTGTCTAGTTTGATGTTTTCATGTCGATTTGTCACAGCCACAGACATCAGAGAGGAGGGAAGCCTCAACTGTGAAAATGCTTCCATAAGATTGGGTTGCAGGCAGGACTGGAGAGATGGCTTAGCCATTAAAAGCTAGGCTCACAACCAAAATACTTAGGCACACGGGGGTGGCCTAGGCCCTGCTCCAAATGATGTGACAGACTTTGATGATCCCCCATGGAAGGCCTCACCCTTCCTGAGGAGCAGGAGGGGCATGAGATGGGGGGAGTCGGTAGGGGACATGGGAGGATGGGAGGGAGAGGGAACTGGAACTGATATGTAAAATAAGATTTTTTCTAATTGAAATAAAAGTGAAAAAGAAGAGAGAGAGAGAGAGAGAGAGAGAGAGAGAGAGAGAGAGAGAGAGAGAGTGAGTTATAGGTGAGCCTAAGGAGCATTTTCTTAATTTGTGATTGATTCAGGAGGGCACACCTCTGGGCTGGTGGTCCCGGGTTCTATGAGAAAGCAGGTTGAGCAAGTCATGAAGAGCAAACCAGTAAGCAGCCCCCCTCCATGGCATCTGTATCAGCTCCTGCCTCCAGCTTCTTGCCCTGCTTGAGTTCCCCTACTGCTTCTGAAAATGGATATTTATATGGAACTCTGAATGAAGTAAGCCCTTTCCTCCCCAAGTTGCTTTTGGTCATGAGGTTTCATCATAGCAATAGTAACCCTAACTAAGGCAGGTTGCTTGTTTTAAATGATGAATATGCTTTTCAGCTGAACAGTGAATAGTCCAGTACTTACCTCCTGTTGGCATCGAGATTTGATTTTGGCCATCATTTGCTCATGAGCTTGTCTTACCATGTGAAAAGGATGATCAATAATGAATTTCCACAACCCTAAATTAATTTGACTTAAAATAAGGAAGTTAAAATGTGTTGCTATGAGCCTGAGTTGTGTAGCTGGACAGGGTGTAATTTGGTTATTATTTCAGCATGCAAGACATTGAAGCAAGAAGACAGCCAGTTTGAGGATGCATTGAGTTACATACAGCAAGACTGTGTCTCAAACAGAAAATAAAACACAAAAATTAAACCCTGCGGAATTATATTGTGTTACTTGACATGTAAAAATACTGCTAGACAAAGATGGATGTCACAAAATGACTAAAGTATTCTACACAGAAAAAGAACCCCTAATGTCAACGTAGGGACTTACACAAGAAAGCTCATAACTGCTTTAGTCATCACAGGCAGGAACAGGAAATAGTACTTATTGACCAGTCTGACATTTCCTGTGGCTTCGGTCACCTTTCCCAGGACAGGAACATAGTGACGGTCAGCAGCTGTTACATATTATAAAGCTCCAATCTTTATGTTTTTTTGTTTACTTTGTCTCAACTCACATAAGTTCGCAATAAATAACATATGCACAATTTTCTCATCTGTAGTTGCTGATTTCCACTCTTCTAGTACCATTTCTGTTGGTTTTCATTCATGCCTTTTTCTTTTTTTTTTTTTTTTTTTGCTCCTAGGGTGTGAGAGCAGAAGGGCATTCTAGGAAGGGTCTGCCTGCAGCCACAGGGACTTGAGCAAGAGGGCGAGCAGCAGACAGTGGCTCTAGGGATGGGTTCTCTGGCTCTACACAGGCTGCAACTCTGAGGCTGCCGAATCTAAACCACTCACAGTGCTCCGTTTGTAGTGGTGCTGACCTACTTCTTTGTAGATCTGGAGATCTAGAACGGAGGCGCAATGGCTTGAAGGCGGTCCCTAAAGTTCATATGCTGGAAACCTGATCCCCAAATGCAACAGTGTTGAGAGGGGAAGATTAAAAAAACATTTAAAAACTTATTTTTAGAGAGTTTCACAAATCTGTGTGTGATGTATTTTGATCATGTCTGTCCTCTCAAACTCCTCCCAGATGTCCCCAACACATTTCCCATGCAACTTCATGTCCTTTTTTAAATGACTCATTGAGTCCAACTAGTGCTATGTGAAATTATCTAGTGAGTGTAGTGTCATCCTCTGGAGCGAGGACAACCTATCAGGGGCCACACAACACCACCACCACCACCACCACCACCAACAACAACAACACTGCTTTCCACTCCCAAGCACCTACCAGCTGCCAATATTTCCTCAGCTGAGGGTGGGGCATTGTGAGGTTCCCTCTCATACATGCTGGAATTTTGAGCGACTTAGTCTTGTGCTGTGAGATTCCGAGCGCCATCCGTGGTGTTAGCTTGACTAGAAGGCACAATTTATCAGCCAGCCCTTCTCTCCAACCTCTGACTCATACAATCTTTCTACCCCTCACTCCTTTTCTAAGATGTTGGAAGATGAGTCCGTGGGGGAGGGAGTTGTCTCATCTAAGTCTGAACATTTGAGAGGGAATTTTAAGAGATGATTATGTCATAGGAGTCCTGCCCTCATGAGTAGGTTGGTATTATTTCAGCAGTATGTTGATTACAGAAACGAGTTCAGCCACTTCCTGCTCACGTTTTTTTTTTCCCTGCCTTCTTCCGTGGAAGGATGTAGCAAGAACATGTTTGCCAGATGAAGAAAGCTGGTCATGTTATTCTCAGATTCTAGAACTTTAAGAAATAAATTTCCAGCCAGGCAGTGGTGATGATTGCCTTTAATCCCAGCGCTTGCGAGGCTGAGGCAGATGTATCTCTGGGTTTGAGGATAGGCTGGTCTACAGAGTGAGTTCCATGACAGCCGGAGGGCTACACAGAGAAACCTCCCAGAAAATAAAAAGCAAACAACAGCAACAGCACAATTCTAATCTTAATAAATTGCCCTACCTGTGACTTTCTATTATGATAGCATATAACAGATCAAGCTAGGAGGCACTTGCTCTCCAAGGAAGATCCCACAAGGAGCCACGGCTATGAGGCTGAAAATTTTTGTCAGATTTGGGAGAACACTTAATTAGAGGAAATACTTTTTCTCTCCATCAATACATAGATAGAAAATGACTTTCTGAGTTGGAGAAGAAAGAAAAAGAGGAGGAAGAAGAAGGGAGCTCGATGAGAAAGGCCTGAGCTCTGATCACCTTCTTAAGACTTCGTGGGTGTGCAGACAGGGCTACAAAAACATCCCTCAGCAAAACCACTAAGCTCTTATAAAACCCTATTGAAGAAACTAATGAATCCCATGGAGAGCATGAGGTTATACCTGTGAAACTTAAAAAGTGTTTCTGACAAAATGTCAAACATTCAATGAAAATAAATGGAAGGCTGTGGACAGATTCCATTCCCTCTACCACGCCACGTGAGTGTGACCCCTAAAGGAGCATGCATTTCATCTCAGAGAGAGGAAAAAGGATAACTCCGGAGAAAGTCCAGTAAGGACATGTATAATAAGGCTGGTTGGTGTGACCAAGAAAAACACAAAAATATAATTACCCTATGGGTCATGTCAACTCACGTAAGGGGATTAACCAAACATGGGTTCAGCTGAGCGCTGTTGAGTTGCCATTCCACAGTGATACATTGGTCAGATTTTTATTATTATAATAAAATATTAACAATTCAGTTTATTTGCTTATTTGGTTTGAATCTTACTTTCTCCCTTTGTCTTACTTCGTTGTAGCTAAGACTCTGTTTGCCTGGATTGGCTGGCATGGGGTGGGCTCTCAGCTATCCATTTTTCCTTCCTCAAGTCCCAGCTAGTGTGGGAGACAAGAAAGAGTTTCTTTTTATATAATTGGCTGCTCCTACCGCGTGCTTTCCTGTGATTACTGCTTCCTTCGACAACACCATTTGACCATCTAGCCCTTTGGAATGGCAGCTATCCATGTGCGTGATAGAATGCATTGGGTTCTTCTTTTTATATAAATAGATTTACTTACCTTTTTTGTTTAAATACAGGTTGGAAGAAGCTAGACACCGGAGTCTGGGCTGGTTGCAGAAGAGCTGGTTGTAGGTGAAAGTTTATGTCCTGCCTGGTCCCTCAGTCATTTAGTCCCAATTAAACACACAGAGGCTTATACTAATTATAAACTGTTTGGCCAATGGCTCAGGGTTCTTACTGCCTAACTCTCTTTTAACTATTAGCCCATTTCTATTAATCTATGTATCTCTGCATGGTCTTGGCTTACTGGAGAATGCCCAAATGACCTACCTTCCTAGTAGCTACATGGCATCTCTTTGAGACTCTTTCTGTGTTACTCTTACCAGAATTCTCTGAGTCTGGTAGCTCTGCCTATACTTCCTGCATGGCCACATTCTGCCTGTCTGTTGGCTGAAATAGCTTTATTCATCAGCCAATAGGAGAAACATATATTCACAGCACACAGAAGGACATCCCCATCAGCTGTCACTGAAGCCTCTTAATGAGCGTTCTAACTGGCATTTAGCTTTAGTCATTGGCTGCTTTCTTTTGACCTATCTTCTGCAGGTCTATATAGTGTCATTATCTGAATTTCCCAAAGGCCTTGTGAAAAACATCCATGTCCCCATGCCACTTCACCGGATTTCGAATTCTTTTTCTGGAGAACCACTAAGCACTGGCATTTTATATCTCTCTGTTTTTGCTTAGTAAGGCATCAGAGGTGGTGGGGATATGTTAAGACCCACCACCCATTAAGGGGACTTGCCTTTACTTTATCATACGGGCTCTGGAGTCAATTCTGAGACAACAAAAACAATGGTACTCTGTACCCTCTATTTGGGAGACAACACAGAGGATTTCTGGGGAACACTAAAAAAGATGTATTCTTCTATCAGGTATAAGGAAATACAATTGAGCGGCTAAGGTATAGGAAATAAATACATTATTTAGTGTTAGAAAGCAGCATAATTCTTGGATATGTATCTCTATAAAAGTAGGGAAAGAAAAGTAGACCCCAGAGGGGCACACATCCCACTTTGTCCATCAGTGAATATTTTTATGTGCATATTTGGCAAAGGATGTAGTGAAAGAAAATAATCTGGAGGTCATTATGAAACAAGCTACTGTAGGAACAAAGACCAGAGATATGGAAAGATAATACTCTATCCAATGAAATGAAAAATAATTGAAATGTCAACAAGATTTTTATCTTGGCTGTTTATAAAATAAGCAGTTATGCATTTAAGTGAAATATATATGTGCCCAGAGAATGAAATTAGTCACAGACAGCAAATTGTGGACGTATCCATTAGATGTAGTGGAAATCCTATAAAGATCTTAGCACGTGAACAGAAACACTGTTGCAAAAATGCTAAATGACATTGTTTCTGTAGCAGTGTTATTTAAACATGGTTAAGAATTTGAAAGATAAATTATGTAAAAAGTTTGCTGTGAGTGTCATCCACTCGCATGTTTAAAATATGCTAATGTAATAATTAACTTTATTTCTTCACCATGGGTTGCGAATTTTTACGATTGGAAATATTTTAGACAGCGTGAAGTAATGAGACACTGGAAAGTAATTCAGAAATTAGCTTTTGTGGAAAAGGAAAGCTTTTGAACAATTGAATATAGATCTGTGTGCCTGTGTAATGTCGTTTCTGTGATGTACGGAGTTAATTCTGGGCTCGCAATGAAACTTGAGTTTTATGTGGCAAGTTATGTAAGGACACAGGCTTTGCATAGGATCATTTGCATTATTCAACAGGCATTGGTTTTGCTAGAAGTTAAAAATGGAAGCTGTCACAGACATTGCTCACTACTTGCACTAAGTCCCCTGGCCAAGCTAGAGGCACCTACTTGACAATCAGATATAGAGCATGTGGTTCACTCACTGCATGTAGGGCAGGAGGCTTGGTCACAGCAGAACAAAAGGGCTGTTGTTGGTCTGTCAGAAGAAATAAACTTACATCATCTGACGGAGGAAAAATGTGCTTATGC